GACACAGTAGACTTCCTCCCCACAAATTGCTTGCAATTAGGGGGTTAGATTCCTAGCCCACTTGCAGTATTGGTGGTCCTTACAGGGGGAGGATGTCAGGGACACTGTTGTGGGGACAAGTCCATGCACAGTAAAAAATCCAATTCTGCAGAATTTGCCCACCAACATGCACTGCATATCCACTGATGCTCCCGATGCTCATTATATCACTATCCAACACTCCATACACTCACTCCTTATTTTTCCATATTTTCCCCATCATTCCTGATGACCCAAAGCAAAATTCCCACACCCAACCATGCTGCCAATTTCACCCCCTCTCTAGATCTCCATAACCACACATACAACCCAGCCGTTTTTCTACCTGTTAGTGATTCTATACCTTCCTCCTTTACCCATGGAGCATTTCCCAGAATGGAAACCCCATACTCGGATGGTTCAGCATGGTTCACATGGTCTTGACAGCACCTGTCAATGGCCATATCTCAGGAAGTACTGCACCAATTGGGATGAATAAGGGTTCGTTGGAAAGCTGGAGATGAGGAGGTTGCTGATGGGAGGATAGGCGGGTGCTGTGGCGAAGTGTTGCGGAGTTAACTTTCACAATTCCCATTTCGGATCCGTTATCATATATTCCCCATTCATTCATATTTCTTTTATTGTTTCTTTGTTCCCAATTGGATATTCATTATTTACGGTTGCCTAACGGCCCGTTTATATTCCCCCATTCCATTTATTTCATTTCCAACTCATATAAAATAGATAATAGCTTGTACATAACAAGTCAGTACTGAATAGACCCGTGAAGGACTAAGAAAGAGTTACATCCAAGTGGCAAAGACGCCATCCACGACCCTAACGCCCCCCTTGAGCTTGTTGCTTACGTCTAAGACCCCTCTCATCATAATCCTCAGCCTTGACATCCAAGAGAGATGTAGGTGAGTGTTTGTTTGAGGTTTTTGCAGACTCAGTAGCCCCCATGGACCAAAACCTGGCCCCACAAACCACACCCACACACACTACAACCCTCCCCCTTCTCTCTGTCTCGAGTCTAGGCAATAGACCCGTTACAAAACTGGTGGTCCTTACAGGGGAGGGATTTCAACAGTGTTTGTGCCGCTCCATTTCCCAAACTTCCATACACACTCCAAAACCTCGCATAGACGGACCTAGCACTCGTATATGCACTCAGGACAACTTTTATTTCGATTATAACCCAAGTTACTACAGTACAAGATGTCTCACACCTCTCATGCCATTCCCACCGCTGGCCCCGCTGGCAACCCCATCCCCACAATTCACACTACTACAGTCAGCCATATGCCTGGCACCCGCTCCAGGGAAGCCCCCAGATTCAAGGGAACCAAGCTGAAGAAGTTCTTCCATGATTTTGAACTTCAAGCTAGCTCTGCAAATCTTACCAACCACCAAAAATGCGACTACATCGTCTCCTACCGCACAGAGAAGGAGGCCAAGTTTATTTGCACCCTTGACAGCTTTGAGAACAAAGATTGGGATGTTTTGAAGCAAGACCTCCTCAACTTTTACCCTGCTGAACTGTCATATCCATACAATCCCGACCTCCGCTCCGGGCTCCCGGAACTCCGAACTCCGACTTCCGGAGTCCTACTTCCCTTCCGTCACCTCCTCCTTGCCGACTCCCAAGAGGTTATCCCACCTCCGGCTCGGACACCACCTTCGGTCCGACTCCGGAACGTTCCGGGTCCGACCCCAATCTCGACACCTTCCAGACGAGTATGCAAAACCGTCTCCGTCTCCGGAACCTCCGGTCTTAGCTCCGACCTCGGACTTTGACCCCACCTCCGCTTATACCCATTGTATTGGTTAGCTCATTCCATTTAATTACCTTTGCCAATATTCCAGAGTTCGGACTTTCCGGACTTACTCCGGACCTTGCAACTATTGCATTGTCCATTTCAATTCCGCTATTCTCCCTCATTCCTATTTGGGCTGCTGCTTCCTTTCTATTCAGTCAGCTAGCCATTCCCGACTCCCATCCTCCTTCCTTCCTTCTTGGGCCTTGGCCCTTCATTCCTCCTTTGGGAAACACCATTGAGTCAAACACTTGACCCTCGGTGTTGCTCCTCTTTCCATCTCCCTTTGTCTCCTTTTGTCCTACCCTTGTCCCTTTTGATTCCGGACCCCTCCTTATATACAATGTACCTAGTAACTTGTAACCTCAGTCCGAAATCGACTGGAATTCCCCCCCAAGAGACTTTCCCTCTGCTAGATCCGAAATTAGGGACCCCTAGGACAACCAGCAATGGCACAGCGCTCCGCCTGAGTCGCTGAGGCCAAGGTCCTTCCATGCTAAGTCTCCGATTCCATTCCGGAGTCGTCCGAATCCCCGCATTCTAACATGAACAGGAAGACTGCATTTACCGCCCCAAGGATCTCAGGAAACTTGTAGAAAAGAAGCACAAGCTTAAGCATCATAAGGACTTCGATGACTACTGTAGACAGTTCCAGGTTATCGCCAAATCACTCGAGCAGAGGCATGCACTTAATGCCAGTGACAAGGATGACTATTTCTATCGAGGAATCAAGTCCCCTGTGTTCTGCAAAAGGGTCAAGCAAGAATTGAAGGCCCACAACCATTGGACCGACCTAACCCACACTCCTCCTATGGACCATGTCATCACTACTGTCATATCCGTGCATACCCGACCCCAACCCGACTTCCGGACCTCCACCCTCTTCACCTCCGGAGTCATAACCTACCGCTGCCGTTCCGATACTCACCTTCGGTCCTGGCAACACACCTCCTCCTTACCTCTCACCACCCTCCTACTACTCCGCTCCCCCTTCACAACACCTCCACCCTCCCGTTATCCTCCTACGCTTCCCCTGTCCGCTCCGATACTCACCTTCGGACCTGACTACTCTCCTTTCCGCCACTCCTTCTCCCCTTACCTGTCCCCTCTCTCCTCCCTCCGTTACTCCTCCGCCACCCTTCCGCCAAGTTACGACCTTCCACCGCTGTTCCGTACTTCGCACTCGGACACCGCTCGTACCTTACTCCGAGCCTCCGTCATAGTCCCCACCTCGGACTTTGACTCCACCTTGGCCTTAGTCCATTGCATTGGTGACCTCATACTACGTAAACACCATTGCCAATATTCCTCGGACTTCCAACCCCGCCTCCGTAACCTCCGTAAGCTCCGCAACCCCCGAGCTTCACGGACCGCCTTCGGTGCTCTCGCCGCCTGTAATGTATTTCTCGCATTTTCCCTTCATCCCTATTTGGACTACTGCTTCTTTCTATTCTAGCCAGTTAGTCATCATCCCCACTTCCCCTCATCCTCCTGCCCCTCTGGGCCTCGCCCTCTCTACCTCCTTTCGGACGTATCACAGGTCTTGCCCTATGACCTTTGGTACCGCTCCGCTCCCTCTACCCTTTGTTCCCGTTCGGACATCTTCGTTCCGATTCGGTCACCCTTTGTTCTCTTTGTGCTTTTGCCCCTTCCATTATATATATCGGCGCTTGTACATACTCGTTTCGGTTTAGTCCGAAATCGACCTGAAATGCCCCCAAGAGACTTCCTGCTCACCTACTGTGAAATTAAGGACCAAATGGACAAACAGCAATGGCACAGCACTCCGCTTGAGTCGCTGAGGCCAAGGTCCCTCCACGCTAAGTCTCCGATTCCACTCCGGAGTCGTCCGTTTCCGCCCATTCTAACAACTACGGCTAAGGAGCTCTTGCAGCATGACCTATACCACGTAGACAAATCTGCCGAGGACTCAGACTCCACCAGCAAGTATTCCCCCAAGAGTTCCCCAGAAGACAGCAATGATTCTGGAAGCCACAATTCTGACAACAAGGCGACTGAAGCTGAGCCAGGACCCCCAACCTCATCCCATCGGAAGCTAGTGTTGATGAGCAACACTTGATCTCAGAGCTGGACTATAAGCGGGAAGCTCAGTCTCAGCTAATATGCATGAAGAACTAATATATTACCTATAAGCAGGAAGCTGAAGGTTGTAAGTTACAATAGTAAAGGAAATAGTAATAAAGGAATGTTATAACTAACCTCAGTCTCAGCTAATATGCATGAAGAACTGAGGGAAAAGGAAATGAATTCAAATGAATGAATATATCTGTGGCCTGGCATGGGTTAGTCCGAAATAATATAAAAGAGGTGTTGTGACTAAGTAATCATGCTAGCATGGGAATGTGGCTGTCTGGGCAAGTTCCTCACTTGGATGTGGGAATGTGGCTGTACAAAAACTCATCCAGCCTCCCATGGCACACGGTTCCTCCATGTTATGGAAATGGGAAATTCCCATTTCTAGCCTCTTATGGCCTCTGTACAGTATATTATCACATGACATGTATATATTAACAACCTAACCATTACTACCCAAAAACCCCATGTTCATGTTACTGTAAAACTCAACTGTTACAACACCTGTTACATTAACTGTAACATCTTCTCAATGTCACAGCCCTCTCCTGCACCTGAACGCTATAGAAATGGGCCAATTAGGCCCCATTTTTATAACACTCCAACATGCCCACTATGTGTGCACCCACTGGAGCTAGTCCAGGTGAGTTTCCCCAGCCTCCAATGGCTCCTCTGGAGTCATCGTTAGCAATAAGTTGGAATCCTACTATCCAGAAAATGGACACCCGGATTGCACAAGTCCAATGTGAGACGTTGTCAAAGAAACAACAAAAAGCAAGGTGAAAGATAAAAGATAAAACAGGGTTTGAAGTTGGTGAGCATTTTCATTCACCCTCAGACAGCCTTAAGCTGTCATCCCCATGGATTGGCCTACTGATTCTGATTCTGCTTTTCAGCTAATCTAACTTGGCCCATGCACATTCGTGCACTGATCAATGTTTTCGATCAACATTCCGCATTGATCTCAACAATCTTTGTTCCCTGGTTTGAGGTTTCCCTCAATCTTGTCTCCCCTTGATGACTCTGAGGGTCTCCGGTTGTATGTGGTGCAGGTGTGTTGTCTCTTGTCAATCAGTGTGTCAATTTTGCTCCATCCATGGTTTCTTCGCCCACTGAAGGATCATCCTCTGATAGATCCTTGGCCTTCATGGCCCTCCCCTTCAAGTACGATGTCGATTTCTCTTTAAGGATTGGATAAGGGCAGATGGGCAGGCTGCCATTGATCTGGCAAGCCAATGTTTGCGGATTCGGCATCACCGCTGTTGATCTGGATGTTTGGAATGGTTTGGGTAATGGAGTGAATGTGGAAGATTGATCCTGATCAGGGATCAGAGTGTTTGTTGTGGGAGGAATATGGCGATTTGATGAGGTTGGCACAGGTGCGACCTTGCCATCATTAACCTCTAATTTCCCCCTTGAAGCGTCATCATTCTGACCATAACCCTTATCCTTAGGGCTCATTATCGCTCCACCTTCGCCGTCATCTCCCTCTCTTTCCTTTCCAATTCCATATCCTTCAAGAATTTTGTCAAACCAATCTGAGGCAGCAAATTGCCTCATTTTCTCGCTGTGGTCATGCAGCAGTTCTACAGCCAATGGAAAGACATCATCGCTGTCTTTTGCTGTCAAGGATGCGCCAAATAGCTTGCCATCATCGCCTTTAGTGCCCACTGAAGTTTCCGTTTCAATTTCCGTTGGGAAATGACTTTGGCACTTGGCACTTGAGTCCATTTTCGAGTTTTCACCACACCCACTCGAGGACTCCTTGGGTTCCTGGCGATAGAATCGATGGTGTCTGAGATCTATGGCAATGGGCTGTTTTGTGCACGCTCTTAGCCTTGGTTTCGGCACTTCAGATGAGTCCGATAGGCCCACACTTGAATCTGGTGTGTTTAAGTGTGTCATATCCATCCCTGGCCATCGACTTCCGATCCCTCCGATCCCTCCGGTCTACTTCCGCTCCTTCCTCACTAACCTTGGAGCTCCCGTATTCCACAATTCTCTTGGTACCCCTCGATGGTCACCACCCCCTCCTTTCAATTTATTACCTACGCCTCCCTAAGTATGGAGCCCCGAAGGATTCCGGACAGCTCCGACGTCCGCTAGCGCACTCCTGCCTCCGCTGGACAATACACTTGCTTGCCCTGCAACACCCACCTTTGGGCCTATCCCTCCTTTCCATTTCTGGGTTATCGCCTGCCTTTCTGTTAACCCTGTAACTGTCATGGCCGTGCATTCCGGCCCGTTAGCCGCCCGTCCCGATGCCACCCGAGCCCGTTACCGCTATGCGAGTGTGAGCGCGAGCCCCAACCTCAGCCCTATCCTCCCTGAGGACCCCCTGCTCACTTCCCCGCTCGCCCCTAGGCTCCCCTGCACCTGGCCGACTCCCCCACAGCCACACCGACCTCCCTGCCCCGAGTCCGCCTCTGGTACCGACCTAGCGTGACTCCGCGACATCGCCTACTCCGCTATGATACCATCGCCGCTATCGCGGCCCTACACCCCTTCGTTTATTTATCTGTTATTGTTTGTTTTGACCCTCGGTCATTGCCGGCCGCGGTGCGGCCAACCCCGCTCTTTGTTCCTATTTGCTTCCGGACCCTTCGGCCTTCGGCCCGGGTCCGCTTCTATTCATTTCACCTTCATATATATATCCTGTATACTACATTATAGTACCTTAGCTCTAATATCAACTTGACCACGACCCCAAGCCCTGACCCCAACAAGGCAGCCCCAGTAAGTTCGAAATGAGGGCCAAGAGACAACTAGGGGGCACAGCACTCCCTTTAGAGTTGCTGAGGCCAAATGCCCTACCCTCGGGCCTTGTCTGAGGCATCGCGGCCATCGCGGCCCTTAGCGGTCCGCATCGGCGACCTTCGGTGCCCGACCCCGGATCAGTATCTAACAGTAACCTGACTCATCGGTAATATTCAATCGGCTAATGTCTAACCCCGTTAGCTCCGCTCCACCATTTGCGGACCTGCCCTCGCTGTAACTATATATATACTCAACTTGTACATAGGTTACACTTCAGTAATAAAATCGACTAGAGTTTACCCTCTTCAGTTCTGGTTGCCAGTTTAGTAAGTTAGGGCACGGACGTGTTACTTGGCACAGCGCTCCTGGCACAAGTTGCTGAGGCCGAAGCCCTCCGCCACGGAGACACTCCTTCATCTCGATCAGGTCTTTGACAAAGTGGTCCTCTGGGCCATTTTCGCCCGATTTCATTCTGGAACCAACATCCAAGCTAGTGGATGATTTACCCACGTCTGAGCGGTTTTGTCGATGCGAACTGGATGTTGTAGTGATGCGCTGCTTCGCACGAGCGCTTGGCATCAATTTTGATGGAATTTGGAGGATAGATGGGCAAGTTTTAGTCGATTTGATGATTTTCGGTGTGCTTGTTTCACTCCTGTGAATCTCAGCACCTTTCTCCCCCTCTAAATCGCCATTCTGACGTCTTCTAATGCTCTGAGATTCTCTCTCTACTCCTTCCCATATCCATATCCCTCTCTTCCACTCATTCACATTCTCTTCCATTTGCTCAATATGATCAGACCACAGGTCTACAGCAGATGGCAAATCATCATCACTGTTCTTTGCCATTGGGGTGACAATAACGGCTTGTCATCCTTATCCATATCGCCCATGGGAGGATTCATCTCAATTTTGCCCACTGAAGATGCTGTTAAAGATGTTTTGGGGAAATGTCTTGTGTTAGAACTGGGTGAGGGCGGATGATTCTGGAGGGGAACTAGAGACTTAGCAAGGAGGCACCTTGGCCTCAGCAACTCATGTGGAGCGCTGTGCCATTGCTGTTTGTCCATTTGGTCCTTAATTTCAGAGGCAGCGAGCAGGAAGTCTCTAGGGGGCATTTCAGGTCGATTTTTGTCAGGGACGCGTCCGGGGTCGAGAGGGCCCGGGGTAATGTCCGGCACTGAGGCCGTCACGGGGTGTGGAGCGGGCGTGCGTACTGGCGGGCCCAATCCGGGACAGTGGTCCCTGGCCACTCAGACTGAAGTGGAGAATGTGTTATTATTATTAAAGGGGAAAACTATACTACTTACCTGAAGTGGAGAATGTGAGAAGAAGGTTACTTCTTTGGTTCCCACTTCAGGTACATTTATGTACATGCAGCTTGAGTCACATGACGGGTGCCACGTCATCCTCGGAGGCAGCCGCAGGCATCCAGGTGTCCCCGTGGGGGATCCCAAGAGCGTCCGCTGCATGCGCGCGTGCTGGGCACAGCGGGAAGCCGTCCGGGGTGTGTGGGCCGGACGGGTCAATAGTACATCGATACAAAGGAAGGTGGTCCGTGTAGATAGAAAGAAATAAACAGGAAGAGGAAGATGAGAAGAATGAAATAAAGAGAGGGGAAAGAAGAGGGAGGAAGGAGGGGGGAGGGGGATAGACAGCAGGGAGCGGGTGTGGTGTGGCCGGGTGGGTCTGGGTGGACCCGGGTCAGGCGGGTGTGCCCTGACATCACCCCCTCCTTAAGCCACTTCGCCTCGAAGCGGCCAGGGGGTTCGTTCTCTCCCTTCCTGGGGCGTGGGGGTGTGTTTGGTGGAACTCCTCGATCCGGTCAGGGGCATGGATTAGTTGGTCTCGGGGGAGCCATTCATTCTCTGAGTTCGGCCAACCCGCGAACTTTACTAAATACCAGAGCTTCCGGCGTAACCACTTAGAGTCCAGTATTTTTTCCACTTCATATTCCTCCTCTCCATCTACGAGTTCTGGGCCCGGGCAGGGGTCGGGGGGTCGTTCTGCGATCTCGTCCGGGTGGTAGGGTCTTACGTTCGTCACAGATACGACTGGGTGAATTCCCTTTTGCTGTGCAGTGAGCTGGAGCTTGACAGCAGCCGGGGAGACGACCTTGACAACTTTGAAGGGGCCTAGCCACTTATGGTCTAGCTTCTTGGTCGGGCGGTCAGTCGTATAGTTTTGGGCGCTGAGCCAGACTCGGTCACCCTCCTGGTACTTGGGGGCTGTCTCTCGACCTCGGTCGTAGTAGCGGGCCATCTTGTCCGCTGCGTGCTCCAGGGCCGCCTTCGCCTCTTCCTGCATCTTCATCATCCTGGATGAGAAGGCGTCGGCGGCTTCTACCTCAGACGTACATGTGGGCTCCGTCCCCATCCTGGGATGCTGCCCGGTGTCAAGCTCGAAGGGGTTTGACGGGTGGATGAGTGGACGCGGTTGTTGTAGGCAAATTCTGCCAGTGGGAGCCAGTCCGCCCAGTCGTCCTGGCGGTGGTTGACGAACACCCGAAGATAGGCTTCGATTTCCTGGTTAACCCGCTCTGTCTGTCCGTCAGTCTGGGGGTGGTAGAGCGTTGAGGGGGTTAGCTTGACCCCCAGGAGATCTGCAAGTTCTTTCGAGAAGCGCGAGACGAAGGCGCTCCCTCTGTCGCTAAGGATCTCTTCCGGGAGCCTGTGGTGCTTCCAGACGTGCTCTAGGAAGAGCCGGACGATACCAGCCGAGTCCACGGATGTCACGGTGGGGATCGCGTGGATGCGTTTGGACAGACGGTCCACTACAACTAGGATGGCGTTATAACCTTTCGATTCTGGGAGCTCTCCCACCATGTCTACCGAGATTACCTGCCAACGGTGGGTGGGGACTTTATTTGGGGTGAGCTTCCCAACCTTCCGTGCGGGGAAGGGTTTGACGCGGTTACAGGTGTCGCATCCACGTACGTATCGCCCGACATATTCTGCCATCCGAGGCCACCAGTAGTCGCGGGAGACGAGCTCTAGGGTTTTCCATCGCCCTGGATGTCCCGTCGCCCACGCGTCGTGGTGTAGCCGTACCAGATCGTGGCGGAGTTGTGGGTCTTTTGGAACGTACACCCTGCCTCGGTAGAGGACCAGCTCTCCCTGTCTCTCCCACTCATCCGACCTTAACGTTCCTTCTCCCAGTTCCCTCATGGCCTTTACCACCTGCTCGTTGTGATCTCTCGCTCCTCGTACCCTCTCTAAGATATCTGCCTCCTCACCTTCCACTGAGACTGCTTCCGTCGCACGGGCCTCGAACCAGGCCGGTTGGAGGAGGGTCAGCCCCTCGTTGTTGTCCCTTCCCTTCGGGTGGTCAGCACGGCGAGAGAGTGCGTCTGGTTTCCCCATGAGCTTCCCTGGTGTCAGGGCACACCCGCCTGACCCGGGCCCACCCGGCCACACCACACCCGCTCCCCGCTGTCTATCCCCCTCCCCCTCCTTCCTCCCTCTCCTCCCCCTCTTTTTTCCCTTTTCTTTCCCCTTTCTTTATTTCATTCTTCTCATCTTCCTCTTCCTGTTTATTTCTTTCTATCTACACGGACCACCTTCCCTTGTATCGATGTACTATTGACCCGTCCGGCCCACACACCCCGGACGGCTTCCCGCTGTGCCCAGCACGCGCGCATGTAGCGGACGCTCTCGGGATCCCCCACGGGGACACCCGGATGCCTGCGGCTGCCTCCGAGGATGACGTGGCACCTGTCATGTGACTCAAGCCGCATGTACATAAATGTACCTGAAGTGGGAACCGAAGAAGTAACCTTCTTCTCACATTCTCCACTTCAGGTAAGTAGTATAGTTTTCCTCTTTAATAATAATAACACATTCTCCACTTCAGTCTGAGTGGCCAGGGACCACTGTCCCGGATCGGGCCCGCCAGTACGCACGCCCGCTCCACACCCCGCGACGGCCTCAGTGCCGGGCATTACCCCCGGGCCCTCTCGACCCCGGACGCGTCCCTGACACCTGGGCAGTGGACGAGGGTGAAATGGAAGTGGGAGAGGAAAAGGGACCATCTGGCCTGGCGTCGATTTAACCTCTGGGCTGTCCGGAAGTAGCCCAGGTTACGGTGGTCGGTGTAGATCTCGACTTTCTCCTCAGCACCTTCCACGAAGTGTCGCCATTCCTCAAGGGCTCGGATGATTGCAAGCATCTCTTTATTGTACACTTCGTAGTTGCGCTCTACATCCGTGAAACTTTTGGACATGAATGCTACCGGGTGGAACTCTCCATCCGGTTGGAGTTGGGAGAGGACCGCGCCAGTTGCAAAGTTGGATGCATCGCACTCGAGCCTGAAGCGGCCGTGGTTGGTAGGGAAAGAGAGGACGGGGGCTGTGGTGACGGCTTCCTTGAGGGCACGGAAGGCATTGTCTTCATCCGGGCCCCAGTTCCAGGTTTGGGTCTTCCGGGTCAGCCTGTGAAGGGGGCGGGCTTTCTCAGAGAAGTCTCTGATGAACCGGCGATAGAAGTTTACGAATCCTAGGAAGGATTGTACTTCTTTCACCTTGGTTGGGGGGGGGCCAGTCGAGGACACCCTGGATCTTCACCGGGTCCATCGCGACGTTACCCTCCAAGATAACGAGGCCCAGGTACTCGATCCGGGTTCGCTCAAACTTACACTTCTCTGGTTTCAGGAAGAGCCTCCTTCTCCTTAGCGTCTCTAGGACTTCTCGGACAACCCTTCGATGTTCCTCCAGGGTGGCCGTGAAGATCAGGATGTCGTCCATGTAACAGATGACAACCTCCCGGTCGATGAAATCCCTCAGGATGTCATTCATCATGGTCTGGAAGGTTGCCGGGAAGTTACACAGGCCGAAGAACATCACCATGGGCTCGAACAGCCCCCAGTTGGTCGCGAATGCCGCCTTCCACTCGTCTCCGTCCTTGATCTGGACGTTGTTAAACCCCCAGCGTAGGTCCAAGGCTGAGAAGTATTTGGCATTGCGGAGGCGGGCGAGGACGTCTGAGATGAGGGGGAGCGGGTACGAGTTCTTCACCGTGATCTCATTCAGCTTCCTGTAGTCCTGGACCAGGCGTAGGGACCCGTCCTTCTTCTTGACGAAGAAGACTGGTGCTCCCATGGGGGATTTGGACGGCCGTATGCGCCCGTTCTGTAGGTTCTCGCGTAGGAACTCGTCCAGCTCTTTCTGTTCCGGACGCGAGAGTGGGAAGGTCTTCCCCCTGGGCAGTTTGGCATCCGGTACCAGGTCTATAGCGTGGTCCCAGGGCTTCCGGGGGGGCAGTTGGTCAAAGGCTTCTTTGGAGAACACATCCCGGAAGTCCTGGTAGTGCTCTGGTACTAGCGTCTCAAACGACGCAGGCTCAGCCTCCGGGTCGCAGGCCTCTTGGGCCATCCACTGCGAGGGGGTCGTGGTGGCTCTCAGGTCATGGCCCCAGCTTGGGGGAATGATGGCAGCGTAGATCCCATCCCCAGGCTCCAGTACCGGGTCCTGATCATCTTGTATTCGCGGTTGTCTGCAGGAGGATGGGCAGCGGGACATGACGACTCTCTGTCGTACCCAGTCCACTTCTGGGTTGTGGTGCAGCAACCACGAGTGTCCTATGATGAGGGACTGGCGCCCGAGATTTGCAACCGCGAAGCGTGCCCGCTCTGTGTGTTGCCCGAAGGTCAGGAGGGCTTCTAGCTCTTCTGTTATAGCTCCATTTTCGTTCGGGGTTCCATCGACATTATGGACGGGAATGGGCTGGGGAAGGGGGTTGTCTCTAGGTTGTGCTTTCGGACGAACTCGGGGCTTACGAAGTTCCCGGTGGCTCCTGAGTCCAGGAGGGCTGATACAGATACCAACGCGAGGGAGGTTAGGGCGGTCAGTTTCA